ATACTTTTATTCTCTGGAGGTTTGCGGAGGCTTATCAGTTAATTTTAGGTCAGAACTCATCATGGACTACATCAGTTGGAGGAACGTTGGAAACCTGGGAGCACTGAACAGTGGGTTTCGTCTTAGTATGGGACTCCTCCCTGGCAGGGTCATCGGTGCACCTTGCTGAGGAGTCCTATACTAGGACGAAACAGCTGTCCAATCCTCCCAGATTTCTAATGTCCCTCCAACTGGTGCCAGTCCATGATGAATTCCAGCCTGAAATATACTTTTCGTACACGTTTGACTCCCGCCTCAGTTTTTATGTCTCGAACATAGTTTAAACGCACAGATGGATACTTTGAAAAACTACAAAATTATAACTCAGTTAAGCCGTACTTAGGCTAAGTTCCGCATACTTCTAATTCTGCTACTTATCGATTTATTGAAGGCGGGAAATTAAGTTCCAGAAAGTTACTTCTTTAATCATTTACTCACTTTGGGTGTAAGCAATAAACCTACTACGTTGAAGGATAATGGCTAGCAGTGATATACAGGACGCGCGTTTCGTCCTGTTCGGGACTCGTCAGCTGGATGTACTTACATCCTAATGAGTTATGTTGTCTCCACCGGTACTTGAGCTCGTGACCGATTGTTCCAAGCATCAGAGCATTATCCACTAGACCACCGAGACACGATAGCCACTTCCTGTCCAAGCAACAACACAATAAAACTATTACATCTGTAACGGTTTGAATATAACCAAGAGTCGCTATAAAAATTAAACAATGTTGTGATTATTTGTTGGTTGGCGACCGGCAGTACACTTCATGACGTACACAAATACATCCATATGATGAGTCTCAAATAATTCAAAACACAAATTCGAGGCGTTCCGCTACTATCTATAATTAAGGAGAAGAATGAAACTTAACGAATCCATATATTGACAGCAGCCAATTAGCATAGTTCAGTGAACCGAGGAACCGTGAATTACTGTTTCAACAATCGTGATTTAGAAGTAGTATTCATCATGGACTGACATCAGTTGGGGAACCATTGAAAATCCGGGAGCGCTGGACAGCTGTTTCGTCCCAGTATGGGACTCCTCAGCAGTATGCACCCACGACCCGTCTAGTGATCGAACTCAGGACCTTCGGGTTTCACGGCAAATGCGTAATTTATTACTCATCGGTGTTTATCGAAAGTAATGTAGAGATTAGCAGAAAACTGTAATGCGTCAATTAGTTAGGCTACTAGCACAAAAAGGAAGAAAAACTTAGCAAGGGGTAAATATTAACATAAATTAGCAAATGAAATTCTGGGAAACATTTAGCACAATTTAATAATCGTATATATAACGGAAAATCCATCTGCTCATTGTTTCTTATCACCCCGTCGAGTAATCATATGACCAGTTCAGTTCAAACGAAGGTCAATCAGTGAATGAATCAATATTGTTTTTTAATGATGAACAAACACACGCGAAATGAATAAAATGCCAAAATGAAACAAAACAGCACTGATGAACGGCAGAGAGTTTTCCCTAAAGACCAGTATATTCTGAAGTTCATCGCAGTAGTGAACTGTCAGTAAAAATTGGGAAAAAATTGATAGAAACAAAGAATCTCACTGAAATACGAATACCCTTACGATATTTTTCGAAAAAAATCGATATGAACCACACAGATTAGCCTTCGAAACAGCTAAAAGCGCACGTAATGGTCCTCTATATAATAATCTCTTTCATATCTGATCCCCAAATCATAAAGAGGATTTGTTGTAACCTACCTGCTGGTGAAGGCACATCCAGCTGACAACTCCCACAGAGGACGAAACATGCGTCTTTTGTTCTGCTACTAGCCATCGCAAAGCAAATCATAACATAATGAATAGTCAGGCATTATGAGACCATCCACACAGAAGCCCACATGCCAACAGATATCACTCGATTCGATCAAAAATACCAATAGGAAATTACAAGTATCAATAAATAATAAAGATGATAATATGGCAAAAACAGTCTACCAGTCAATATAGGTACACATCATTGAGATGTTTTGAATTATTCGACGCAGTCTGCAGTACATGGATTTTGTAGTTGTTGAAACGCATCAGTAGTCAAGATTTGACAGATACATCGGTAATTTCATTTCTTTTCAATGGAATAAATCAACAGCTTTATTCCTACTGGAGTACTCGAATAAAGATACACATCCGACTGCAAATTACATCTGCCGAGTAAGAAACAAACCTGTTATACAAACGTGAAAGCCCACACTTCACACAAGCGCTACTATGGGAAAAGTTAACAAGAAGTAAGGTGAGAAGATGAAAACTGCATTATCAGAAGTCATGAGAAGCGAAAGTCCAAACAGGAACTTGCGACAAAAAGTTATCAATACAATTATGCCATTTCAATCCGTTTTCGCTACCTCATGGACCTTAACCAGAATAGACAGACGTTTGTTTCTCCTTCTACATTTACTCACATCGCTGAGAATAATATCTAACAATTTATTTATTTATACCATGGGCTTCTAGTGGGACATAAAGCCTCAGCAGACCGTCACCATATCACTCCGCAATTCTCTGCAGCACACTCAACCTCGCTCCACGACTGCCAAGAAACCTTTCATTTCTTCCTCCCACGATCTCCTCCATGTCACCCTCGCCTCGGACGACCAACTCACCGTTTCCCATTCGACTTCCACTCAACGGCCTGGCTAGGCGCGTCATATCCCAAAACGCCTTTCTCAGTCTATGTCCAATCCAATCCATCTCAACTTTATTCCTATTCACATTTCTTGGGCGATAGGTTCTCAGTTGGTTCGTTGCGGGGCCAGACAGAGTTCCTTGTTGCTTATTCTTATTATTCTGACCATCTGATCTTAAGTATCGAGTAAGCGTAGGCGGCAACTGTTCATCATGAATGTCTGTAGTTTGTTGGAAATGCTTTCCGTGACGTGCCAAGTCTCTCAACCATCACATAGATGCACTGAATGACTTGACTGACGTTGGTGTCGAAAATCCGGATCTTGCTCACGCGTTTTGCTGAGTGCAGTAGATCTCCATATTGATTTCAGACAAATGGAAGCCCATCTTGCTGTCTTTCCCATCCTGGCTTCAACATTCTCATCTGTGTCTATGCCGCCTGCAGTTGAAACGATGCTGCCTAGCTAGCGATGTAGGCACGTAGGTAGGTGAAAGAGACAACTTCCTTTCGGTTTCTCCCAGTCATGGTGATTGGTGTTTGTTGTTGATGCTGTTGTCGGTTGGATGTCTCCATCACCTCTGACTTCTCTACATTCACTTGAAGTCCCTTCTTCCTTCGCTGACCCGCCTCTTCTGTCATGTTGGTTGTCTTGTTGGTTTTCGCCTGTACATCTTCGAGTTTGTGCCACAAGACATTAGACATAAATCATCATCATCATCATCGGCGGCGGCGGCGGCGGCGGCGGCGAAATCCAAATCTCCTCCTCGGGTCTTTTCATCGGTCCAACCAGAGTATGCCCATCTCACAGCTCATCACAGTTGTCTCTTGCATGATCCACTCCACTCCACTCCACCACACTCCACCACAATTAGGAAGACCATCGGGGATAGTAGGCGGCAACCTTGTCTTCCTCCTTCCTGTCTTCACTTCAAACGCATCACTGAGCTTTCCATTGTCAATCACTTGGCATTTAGCATCATATAGCATATAGCTGTTCAATGTGCTTCATAAGGGCTAGTCGCACTAAAACGGTAGTGTTGAAGCAGTTGTCTGCCAGATTGCTTCTCAACTTCAGAGTCGATGAAGTTGAGATGAAGATCCAGTTGACTTCCATTCTATGCTCTGTTGTATGATGATGCGTAGAGCAGCATTGCAATTTGATCCACAAATGACTTGTTCTTCTCGAAGCCAGTCAGCCAACCTGTTCTGGTTGTACTTTTCAATGCAGAGAATTTTGAAGTGATCAGACCATTGTTTCCTTTGTTCCTCCTCTTTGGCAGCAACTAGGTTTCCTTCACTATCTTTCATTGGTCTCATCTGCGTTGATCTCTTCCTTCCCAGATAGTAACCTGTTTATTTGATACAATGTTGTCAGGTCTATGTGTCTCCTACCGGCCTGCAGCCTGTTCTGCTTCACTTGCCAGTGTGTCGTACAAGTGTATTTTGTCTTTCCACCCACTCTTCTTCACTTCTTTGTTCAGTGTAATGTTTTGTAGGTTGTGTTCAGTTCCACTTTTCGTTGTTCATCACTCCACTCCACTCCACTCCACTACAATGCACTGCACTTCACTGCAGTACACTGCACTACACTGGTTCATCTTCTGCTTCACCATCACCATCACCATCACCATCTTACTCTCCCTCCTTTATCAACTTCCATTTTGAGATCCGTCAAGATCCATTCCTCATCTCGTCTCGCCTTCTCTTCTTCCTTCTTAACACGGTGATGGAGTTTTCCTTCTACATCTGTTTCACAGAGTTCCAGTGTTCTTCCACACTGGTCTCTTCAGGGGTGTTGATTAGTATGTCCCATTTTGTCATGATGACTGACTGACCGAAGCGATCTAAGTTAGTCAAGGTATAGTGCGCCTCTTCAGATACCACCACTCGTTTCACGCTTATTATGTTCTTGTCGTTGAAAAGGTGGTTTTATTGATAATACTAGTAGTCTCGCACGGTTGTTCTAGTTTTTACTGCGCACATACGTAGGCACACAGGCAACAGTTTCGGTCCCAAGTCGCTATATTGAAATGAATTGTTATAAAAAATACTTGAGAAGGAGCAGATGGAATAAAGTAGGATGAACAAGATGTCGAAGGTCATTAGATTTCACGTGTTTTGATTATAGTATTCATAATAACTTTAACAATATTCATGATCATAATTGAATAAATAGGTAATCGATAAAAAATATATTCTTTCCGTTGATGAAGAACGTGAATAACAAACTTATGATTCAAATTAAACAATACGCAAATATAGGCATGCATGCATACATGTGACGCACATACGCACAAGAACTGACCCCATAGGAGTGGTCCATTTCTCATCACCTTGATCGAGTTCATCAGTAGTGGTATTACTGGTATTGCTGGTGTGTGCCAAATTATAAATATCACCTGACTTATTGTCATCGTTACTATGGTAACACACAGGTTCATACAAGTATTTCACTAACGTTATTGGTGTGTTGCCATTGTCAACAGAATTATGAATGATAGCAGATGATGGAATCACTTCATTATGATCATTGGAATGGTTATCTTTTCTTCCAGTACTCAAAACTGTAGGTGGGAGATTTTTCTGTGACGATAATATTGTTTCTATATTTAGAGTCCGGTCGAATCTTCCCAACATATTACTGATTTCTGACAAATTAAAACCATTATGTGTTAACCTTTAAGGAAGATAAGAAAAAGCAACACAACAATAAACACAATATCAAGTACTACTGGATAAACTAAACAATATATACAGGAATATGAAAACTGAATGAAACCAGTTTGTATAATTTAGGGCAAGTAGAACTAAGAACTGCTTGAAGTAGCTGTATATGGTCGCTATGAGACCAGTGACTCGAACTTATTTCCGCGCACTTCAATTTGGGCAACCAGATGACAGCAGTAATCCTTACAGAACAGGTTCAGTTAAAAAACGTAGAATGTAGAAATCTGTCCTCAGCTACTAAATTGCATAAACAAAGTATGAAATCATAGACAATGGGAAATTTAACTATGCTTTGCATAAAAGTGATGACTTCATGTGACAGTCAGACTATCTAACAGAATCGCTTTCATCAGTGTAGTTCCAGTGTATGCATTAAGGTGAAACAACCATTTACTACCATTATCGACGGCTGAAATCATAGCTTAATCCTTGATGCATCAAACTTTGGTAATGGCAGTAACAAGTGGCAATTTCAAACAGCAGACAGGCAGGTGGGATAATGCATAATCTTAAAAGTGAATCTAGCGCTCAATAATAACTAGCTTTGAGAGGTGATTCCCAAAGTTCCAATGAGAAGTCATGACCAGTGGAGTCAACCAAGTTGAACATGAGGACATTGGATGTAGGTCGCGCTATATCATGAACTGACAGGAGTTGGAAATATGGATCATTGGATTCCAACCCAGTGGTTAAATGGTAATGTGCTAGCCGTGGTACCTTAAGGTCTTGGGTTCAACTTCTGATGGAGTCATAGGCACGCACTGCTGAGGAATCCCATAGAAGGATGAAATAGCTGTTCAGTGCTCCTGGGTTTCCAATGTTCCTCCAACTGATGTCATTCCATGGTGAATTCCAACATAAAAAGTGAATCTGTTCAAGCTTTCACGCTGTACAACAGCATAAATTCAAAAAAAGTCAATAGAAGTAGAAAGATATGACACTAAGTAAAGATGAATATGAGAAGAAGCAGAACAAATTAATGAAGTTCGATACTATGTTCAGGATTCTCAAGAATACAAAGAATGAATACATCTACATCACTGTGTGATTGATTTTAAACCAAGATATCATAAGTCCACAAATATTTTCCCCTAAAATCTTCAGGTACTCAGCTATAGACTTCAGAGAGACCTTTTTTCCCAACCTAATCCTACATTCAGTAATACTGATCATCATCAACGGATACTGCAGATCATCATGTGAAACATATCGTTTTCACGATAAGTAGCACGTATATCCAACCTAACCGATGAACCATGCATAGAGAAAAAAGTATGTGCTAGATGTCTCTATTATCCATTCATAGAATACTTTCGTATGAATAGACTCATAGTTATCAAAGGGTTTAAAACTGAAAACTTTCAATAAGTCAAAAATATCAGGAAATGCAATTTGTTAGGAGGAGTAAGAATCCAGCCTTACGAATATTAGGTTTGGTGACATTTATTGGTTATCTGCTAACCTCCTTATTACAAAAATCAATGTCATCTAAACGTCAGACGACAGCTATTCTACCTTCGTCATACTTTTGGATATAAATAACTGTCTTGTATCATCAATGTTCTTATCCATGAGTTTGTATATTATTGAAAGTAGAATGTGTATCCAACCCATGGGCTTCAAGTTCAGCCTTTCAACTCCGTTCAGGTGAACCATGGATAATCACGGGTTGTACCGAAATCGTACACCCTGGTACTAATTCAGTCAAAAATACAAGATATTTTGAAGATAATGGAGACTTCATTTTTACTTTTTATGTATTTTTTATGTATTTCACCACGAACTGAGATCAGTTAGGGAAACATTGAAAACCCGGGAGCAGGGGACAGCTATTTCGTCCTATAATGAGACTTCCTAGCAGTGCGCACCCAAGATCCCGTCAAAGACCAAAATCACGACCTTCAGGTCTGACGGCGAACGCCACTGGGCCGGAATTCAATGGCTGTTTTCAATTTCTGTCGACTCATGAAACGGCACGATTATTCATCAAGGTTTTCAGTTGGCATCAGCTTCACATCCGACTGGTTGATCCCATAGGTTACCATTTCTCACTAGAACCTCGAGATATCCATCTATATCCGTGAAATCTGAAGGTCTTAAGTTCGATCCCTGTCCGAGTTGTACGTGCTTACTGCTGAAGATTCCCATAATCGAATGAAACAACTGCCCAGTGTTCCCAAATTTCCGATGGTTCTCCAACTGATGTTAGTTCGTGATGAATATTACATTAAAAATGCAAGCTGTTATGAAATGGAAATAAACTGTAGGCTTTCATTTCTACACAACACAATATTCTTTGTATTAGGTGGATTATGGGAAATCGATGGACTTCGAAACAATTTTCACCACGGGTTGATATCAGCTGGAGCAACACTGGAAGTCGTAGACTAGTGGACAGCTATTTCACCCTAGTTTGGAACTCCGTAACAGTTCACATATATGAGTTTAGTAGGAATGATTTGGGAAGAAAACTGTGTTGCAAATTATAGTCAGTTTAATCAAGCACAGCATTTTCTGAGAAAAACCTTTCTCACTGAATTAAATAATCCGGTAATGAATGTTTGAACGACCCAATAATATCTGATACATTTCGGTTGTAATTTTTTAATCTTGATGGAGTCATTATGTTCCCAGTTCAATGACTCAGGTAATTGTAAATCAAAAGGATTTTGATTAGATTTGTACCCGCTCTTCCCTAACCCTACAAATTCTCACTCACACAACACACAGTGATTTGTAAGTTTTTTTTACCACATTAAGCTACAATTGTATAAACTACTCTGATTTATGTTGTAGTTTAGTTGATATTAGTGTAAACAGTGTGTATTTGTGGCACACTCATTTCTCTGTTCTGTAGAAAAATAGTTCAAAAGACACACATAAACAAAAGATGAAACCAACAAAGGGGGAACAGAAGAAAGGAGATGGAATTGTCAAACCCACTAATAACTAGAAGTAAATTGCTAACAATTTCCCCTCAGTTCCGTATAGCTTTACAATAACAGTAACGGGAAAGTTAGGACTTTATTTTAGTAAAAACCCATGGCTTCGTTACATCGTGACCTTAAAAGTGATGACTGCATTGCAAAACTTGATTAACAGCACTAGATCAAAATATAGCACTAGACAATATAAAACCAGTTACTCTCTGATCAAGGTATCTAATACAACCATACAGAGGGTTATTCAGAGATTGAAAAACCAATCAGTAATACTATCCGCTTTAGCACTGATTGATAAGGCTATAAATATACGAAAGAACATCAGCTTCTTTGAAGTTACAAAAATGCACTACTGATAGATGCACACAAGCAGGACACTTAAGTCACAAGTCTGAAACATTCCTATTATTATTGATGTTTTTCCATTGGGTTCTAGTGGAACATAGGGCTTCCGTAGCACATGTCCACTGCACTCTGTTCTCTGCAGTCTTTTGAACTTCGCTCCACGACTGCCAAGAAACCTTTCATTTCTTCCTCCCACGATCTCCTCCATGTCACCCTCGCCTCGGACGACCAACTCACCGTTTCCCATTCGACTTCCACTCAACGGCCTGGCTAGGCGCGTCATATCCCAAAACGCCTTTCTCAGTCTATGTCCAATCCAATCCATCTCAACTTTATTCCTATTCACATTTCTTGGGCGATAGGTTCTCAGTTGGTTCGTTGCGGGGCCAGACAGAGTTCCTTGTTGCTTATTCTTATTATTCTGACCATCTGATCTTAAGTATCGAGTAAGCGTAGGCGGCAACTGTTCATCATGAATGTCTGTAGTTTGTTGGAAATGCTTTCCGTGACGTGCCAAGTCTCTCAACCATCACATAGATGCACTGAATGACTTGACTGACGTTGGTGTCGAAAATCCGGATCTTGCTCACGCGTTTTGCTGAGTGCAGTAGATCTCCATATTGATTTCAGACAAATGGAAGCCCATCTTGCTGTCTTTCCCATCCTGGCTTCAACATTCTCATCTGTGTCTATGCCGCCTGCAGTTGAAACGATGCTGCCTAGCTAGCGATGTAGGCACGTAGGTAGGTGAAAGAGACAACTTCCTTTCGGTTTCTCCCAGTCATGGTGATTGGTGTTTGTTGTTGATGCTGTTGTCGGTTGGATGTCTCCATCACCTCTGACTTCTCTACATTCACTTGAAGTCCCTTCTTCCTTCGCTGACCCGCCTCTTCTGTCATGTTGGTTGTCTTGTTGGTTTTCGCCTGTACATCTTCGAGTTTGTGCCACAAGACATTAGACATAAATCATCATCATCATCATCATCGGCGGTGGCGGCGGCAGCGGCAGCGGCAGCGGCGGCGGCGGCGAAATCCAAATCTCCTCCTCGGGTCTTTTCATCGGTCCAACCAGAGTATGCCCATCTTCTCACAGCTCATCACAGTTGTCTCTCGCATGATCCACTCCACTCCACTCCACCACACTCCACCACAATTAGGAAGACCATCGGGGATAGTAGGCGGCAACCTTGTCTTCCTCCTTCCTGTCTTCACTTCAAACGCATCACTGAGCTTTCCATTGTCAATCACTTGGCATGTAGCATCATATAGCATAGCATATAGCCTATAGCTGTTCAATGTGGTGCATAAGGGTTAGTTGCACTAAAACGGTAGTGTTGAAGCAGTTGTATACCAAATTACTTCTCGATCGATGCTGTCGAAGCAAAGCCTTTTCAAAGTCGACCAAACGGCACAGTGAGGAACAAAAAGTACTGTCAGTTCGGATGAAGTGAAAGCTGATTTCTACTGAAAATTGTCCGTCGTCATCATGAAAGTCAGGCGCTCAGACGTGGTAGATTTTGCAGGTGATTTCAACACAGAGATGGGAGGGTTAAGTCAGGCAGAAACGCACTCCGGTGGTACTTTCGGAATCGCAGCCGAACGAGCAAATAGAGGCAGTCGCCTGCTACAACTGTGCTAAAACCAACATCTGTTTCCAGCCAACA